TGTCAGCTTTACATGTCCCTGTATGGCTCTGGAAGATGGCTGGTTAGCCAAAGACGGGTAAGATTCCTCAAGGAGGAACAACCTAAGACAGGCACAGTTGCGGGGGGGCCATCAGGTGAGAAAATGGGAGTTAACAGAGGTGAGGCTTAGAATCTCATACCCCCAGTTTTGAGAGAAATTGTGTACACCCATGGATGTTTTGTTGCCCTTGTTCAGCTTGGATTAATACCTAGTCTATAGGCACAAACCTGATCATCTACACCTGCCTTCTTACAGTTCTAAATCATGCTTTCTATCTATATCTTGCATTTACCTACTACATTAACATTTTATTAGATTCACATATAAAGTATAAAAATCAAATGAATAATTCATACATTATATTTAACATGATTGTTTATAGTTTAAGGCTTATAGTTAAAACAGAAACAGTTTCTATGATATGAATGCCCTTGCATTGTTCACCATGTAAGAACTTGTTTAGTCCCTGCAGTAGTAGAGTCATGGAGAACTGTGTAGCATATATCAGGGAGATTTTGGTATCCACACAGAAGAAGGAGTAATGTAGATAAGAAGGGGAAATTTAGTTTGCTGCTTACTGTGCCCTATAACGGGGTATAAAGTGAAGATATGAGTTTATGATTTTAGATTGCTTATAAATTTATTAAAGTTTCTAAGAATATTTTTGTGAGAAAGAATCCTAGCTAACTGTGGCACTAGGTGACCTGTATTTCACCCTGAGCTGATAGACTCCATAGTCGCTGCTATGTACTGCACGCTCCTACGGTCACATGCACTGCTTAGAAACTGCATTGCATAGAAACGTAAAACACAATAGAGTACATGTTGATAGGAAAAGTTTCGGTCAAGGAACTGAAAAACAATCACCTATCTAACACTTGACCAACCATGAATAGATAAGAAAGGAGAAGAAAAAAAAAAAGCTTGCCTATAATTATTAACCAACTGCCTATACTAATTAATCATCAAAACAATAAAAAATAATCATATCCATGTGCAATATGGTATAAATAAAGCTGTCATCAACACTTTGTCAAGAGACCACCTCCATCTGACTCCATGTCCTGTCTCTCCATATGCCAACTCAATCTCATCCTTTTGGGCTTCACCCCTCCCCCGCTGGAGCTGGACTCCAGCAACCAAAGTCTCAATGGTAACTTCCTTACTATCTAAGAGTCTAACTTAACTCACTTACTATGCTATTACGAACACAATCTAAAGGTTTTTTTTCCATCCTTTTTCTTCCTCCTCCATTCTTTATATATTAGGTATCATCTTCTGTACTCTTTGTCTATCCCTTGATTGACTTTGGGGATAGTTGATTTAATTTTGCATATGCTTAGTATAATTAACTGTTCTACCTTCTGTACTGTGGTTTTATTACCTCTGGTGACAGCTATTAAATCTTACGAACACTTCCATCTATAGCAGTCCCTCCATAATACACCGTAGACATGGTTTGTGGGAGCTAAATTCCCTCAGTTTTTGCTTATCCAGAAATTAATAACTCCTTCAAATTTAAATGATAATCTTGCCAGATATAGATTATTGGTTCAAAGCCCTTCTGCTTCATTGCATTAAATACATCATGCCACTCCCATCTGGTCTGTAATGGTTCTGCTGTGAAGTCTGATGATGGCCTGATGGGCTTTCCTTTGTATGTGATCTTATTTCTCTCTCTGGCTGCTTTTAATAGTCTATCCTTATCCTTGATCTTTGCCATTTTAATTACTATATGTCTTGGTGTTATCTTCCTTGGGTCCCTGGTGTTGGGAGATTTGTCCATGTCCATGGCCTGAGACACTATCTCCTTCCCCAGACTGGGGAAGTTTTCAGTAATTAGCTCCACAAAGACTCTTTCTATCCCTTTTTCTCTTTCTTCTTCTAGAACCCCTATAATGAAAATATTATTCTGTTTGGATTGGTCACACAGTTCTCTCAATATTCTTTCCTTCTTAGAGATCATTTTTTCTCTCTGTGCCTCAGCTTCTTTGTATTCCTCTTCTCTAGTTTCTATTTCATTTATTGTCTCCTCCACCCTATCTATTCTGCTTTTAATTCCCTCCATTGTGCTCTTCAATGATTGGATCTATGACTGGATTCATTCCTGAGTTCTTGAATATTTTTTTGTACCTCCATAAGTATGTTAATGATTTTTATTTTGAGATCCCCTTCCAGAAGAATCCTGATGTTGATTTCATTTGAATCTTTCTCAGGGGTTGTATTCATATTTTTACTCTGTACCTGGTTTCTTAGGCACTTCATATTTGTATATAGTGCCCTCTAGTGTCCAGAAGCTCTACTCTCCGGAGCTGCTCATCCCCTACAGGAATGTCAGGTGTCATAGGGGAGTGGTATTGGTGCCTGGGGAGAGGAAAGAGCTATTTCCTTCTTCCCAGCTGCTATGCCTGTCTCCACTGCCTAAACCAGTGGGCCAAGCACACAGGTATAAGCCTCTATGCTTTGTGTTTGTAGTTGCTGTAGATGGGGCTTCCCTCTGGCTGGACTAATGCCAGGGTCAGGTTTGCCAGTTTGTGACCCAGGTGGGGCTGGCCGGGAGAAAGTCGCAGTAGGCTGAGTATCATGAAGGGGTCCTTAGAGCTGTGTAGCCATCCAGGGAGCTGAGCGCCTGAAGATCGAGCAAGTTCCCAACCTGCTGGGCAGAGTGCATCTGGACAATTTTGTCTACTTCTCCTTTCTCCTGCATGGAAAGTTCTGTGCAATCCTTGCCCCATTAGCAGCCCTCTTGCTGTTAGGACGTCTTTCAGACTGCCCACCTTTTTTTGTTCCAGAGCAGCTGGATATGGATTCCTGCTTTCCACATGTGGCTGGAATCTCAGTCTTTCCAGGTATTCTGACTGTCTTAGCTTTCCAAACCCCTAATCACGAGAGTACCACAAAAAGACCATGAAATGTAGGTTTGTGCTCCCAGATTAGATCTCCGCAGTTAGGTATTCAGCAGTCCCAGGCCTCCACTCCCTCCCTGCTCTGTTTCTCTTCCTCCTGCCAGTGAGCTGAGGTGGGGGAAGGGCTTGGGACCTGCAGGGCCATGGCTTTGGTACATTATCCTGTTCTGTGAGATTTATTCTTTTTTCCTGGTGTATGCAGCTTGGCACTGCCCTCTTTCCTGTTGCTCTTTCAGGATTAATTGTATTAATTATATTTTCATATTACATGCAGTTTTAGGAGGAAGCCTCTGTCTCACCTCTCATGTTACCATCTTTAATCCTCTACAAAGTCACTTTAAGCTCAACTAGAAACAGTTTAATCCTGTAAAAGAAAAGTTGTACCTGACAGAGTTAAATGGGCAAAAAATACTTGATTCAACACAATTGCAATAAGTGAGAGAGATTGAACACCACTCCACTGAGACAATAAGTGGAAGAGTTTTAAGTAGTGAGGTGAGCTAGTGGAAAAGTACTAGCCTTAGAAGAGAGGGCAGTCAATAAAATTAGCCCCTTCATGTTTGCTAATTGATGCTTATCTTATGGGTTCTCATCTTCACACAGGGTCTGAGAGATAGAGGTGATGGCTGTTAGGTCCTTGAGTAGGAGCTTTTCTGAGTATTAAAAGGGGCAACAGGCTGGGTGAATACTTATTTCTCAAAGAGAAAAGGAATACATTTAAAATTATTTCCTAAAGTAAATGATTTAAGAAAAGTGATCAGGGGGCCGTTAGGAAACAATAACTGTGGCTCAAGTTTCATCAAGCTGAGGGGAAATTAAGGCCATCTTGATCAATACAGTATGCTAAATGAAATGATGGAGTTTTTAGGAACATATAGGAAAAATAGAACATACAGGAAAATAAGTGTTAAATTACATTGAAGGTATATGTTAAGACTGCCATGGGGTCATTTTAAAGTTAGAGCAATAGGCAAGATAGTGTGATCAAAAGAAAACTGGAGTCTGAATTATTTGGGACTTTAACTCCTGACTCCTGCATTCTACACCAGTGTTCTATTGGACAGGTCAAGCCTATTGGGGTACTATTTTTTTTTTATTTTGCCAGACATAATGACTAATTTTATTTTCTGTACTCTTGATAGCAATATATGAAATTTGACTAGAAGTGCCTCCTGAATCAATCCAGAAGAATGCCTTTAAAATTTTGGGGGTGAAATGTAGAGTGGAGTACTATTTTTATCTTTGATGGAGAAATGACTATCTACCTCTAATTCTTAGTATTGTCATGAATATCAAATACAATAAGATTTACCTGGAATAACATTTAAATAGCACAGCAGCAAATAAATGCAACGTAACATTCCTAGACATTATCAATCAACCTCATGAAAAACTGAAAACAAAAGTCAAAGAATTACTTCCAAAAGTCTCCAAACCCAGTCAGTTTAACAAGTATACAGTTTTGAAATTTCAAGTAACTGGTAATTCTCTTTCCATAGGTAAATCTGGGCAGGGGAAAATCCCGGGGTAAAATGCCTTTGAACCCGAGATCAGTCAAAGGGAGAAATAAAGTTTAAAGCCCATTTATTGCTTAGAAGGAGTCATCCTGCACCTCTCTCTCTCCTGCTGCAGAAACGAGCAAATCCTCCCCCCAGCGTCTCAGGTAAGATAAACCCTCACTTACCCAGGTAATTACCTATGGATATGGACATGAACTACTTCTCCCCACCTCTTGGAAATGCCTGTTGATATGGAGATGCACTAAAGCCAGGCAAAAGATTCTGGAAATACTGCAATTTTTTCCACAGCCCACCCCTCCAGAAATCTCTCCTTACAATCTACTTGCTCCCCCTCTTCTCCAATGGTCTCTGGGAGAGAAAACTGGAGCATTGTAACCAGAACAATGACATAACAATAGCAATAGCAATAAAATCATGATAATCCTCAAACCAGAGGATTCAGTGAGGTTCAAAGTCATATGCAGATGAAGTCCATAGCTTGCCCATTCCATAGGCAGGCAGTAGTTGAAGAAGTAGAGAGTTCAGAGCAATCTTCATGTAGCAGCTGCAGCCAGGGAGCGCATACAGGCCACAAGGACTGTAGAAGGAAGTAACCTTAAGGGCAATAAGATACATGATTTAATGACATCAACATAGGCAAGTCTTACCCATGCAAGAGAGTGGTCCTGTGATAGAACAGTGGCAGGAATGGGATTTCTTCCTTGTCTAGTATACCAGACTTTCAACCCCCTCCCTGTGGGAGTTACACATGAGTCAATATATAGGGCTACAGGAGGTACATGCACTGGCCATAAAGATAAAACAAAACTTCCCTGTAAGATGTTATTACCTCCCGGATGTTTTGGGTACACTATCATTATCTTTAGGGGATTCTCTGCTGTTAACTCAGGAATACACAGGAGGCCAACTTCCAGGCCTTTCTCCCAAGGTGCCAGAAGGACCAGCCATCACTGGTTCATGTGTCCAGGGCCATGTTTACTCAACACCATCTTCAGGGTTTAATGCACTAGGGGCTGGTAGCAGGATGTTGCTCTGCTGGCCATATCCTGGCTTCTATAACTTCTCTTTGGTTTGCACATACAGTTGTATAGGAGAGGCAGCAAGGTGTGTTACCATATCCACAGGGCTCAAAGCTCATTTTCAGGGCTTCTCATTCAAATGCTATAGCACTGTTCATAAGTGAACAGACCAGCCCCGCAGACTATTGTTGTCTGACTTCAGTCCAGATTTCAACAAGCTGTTGTAACTCTCTATTATGCCTGTAGGGTTATATGGTGCATGAAAATTTCACTTTATTCCTAATTGTTGCACCCATTCTCACAGTGCATGTCCAGTAAAGTGAGTGCCTTGATCACTCTCAATCACCTGTGACTGGCCACAGGCTGCAAAGAGATGCTCCAGGCCCCTCTTGGTGGTTTGCTGATATGCAAGACATAAAGGAAAAGCAACCAATTGTCCAGTAGTCATGTCCACACAAGTCATGGCATACACATATCCTTCTGATATGGACAGAGGCCCAATGTAGTCTATCTGCCACCTGACGAGGGCTATTGGCCCCTTTACTTTTATCCCATGTTGCTGGTGGACTCAGTCTAAGTCCCTCTTAGAGCACACAAGGCACTCCTTCCAGGCTCTGCTGACTTCTTCAAAAGTCAATGGCAAGTCCCACCAATGGCTATAGCTCACACTGTCTTTTGCCCCACGTGCAATGTAACCTTTCAGCTACATCAGAGGCAGGCTTTCCTTCCAGCCAACACACTTCAGCCAATGTGCCTGCTTCATTGTTCTCTGGGGCAGCCAAGCCAAATGGCCAGTCACATAATATACAGTAACTGTCTTAGTCTGACCAGAGGCTCATAGGTCTTGCCACCTCTTGATCCCAAAGGGGTAGTGTCCAACCATCTAGTTGACATGGTACCATGTCAGTAGCCACAGCATCAAGCACCAATAGACAGCCAACCTGTCATTGCAGACTATAGGGGAGGGCTCCTGGGTGATCATGAGCCACACTGCCCACAGCTCAGCCCATTGGATACTCTTCCTCTCTCCATCCTCCATCCATATTGTTTCAGTCTTAGAATGAAGAGCCATAGCCCTCCACTTCAGGGGCTGCCCACAACTGGAGCTGTCTGTATACCAAGCATCTTCAGGTATATGGGTTTTCCCTCCTGATTAAGACTCTCAACTACCAATTGTTCAAAAACAAGTTCTTCTGCTTTCTACTGGTATAGCTCTTTGGCCCCAGTAAGTGTTGGAGTTCTCCAGTTAAGGGACTAGTAGAGAGGGCACTGCACCTCTGTAAATATGTGCCCCATTTGGCCAGTGTAGGTGTCTTTGCCATGCCACTCCATGGCCTCTGAGTACAGTCTCGCACCCACCTCATGATGGGATAGGCGGTTATTTCCTTGGTTTGAGCTGTTCCAGCAATGGACTATGTAGCCAGCAACGTGTGGTACACAGCAGCCAGTTGCTTCTCTATCAAGGTGTACCAGACTCTGCTCTGTTCCATAGTTGTGACCAGAAGCCAAAAGGTTGGCATGTCTGTTCAAGCTGCTGCCAAACACTCCATCTACAACCATCTGCAGTTACATGAACATCTAGCTCAAAGGGCCTTGATGAGTCCATTACAATAAAGGAGTGCACAGCCTTGACTACTTCTTTAGCAGCAGCACAAACAGCTGCACATATCTCATCCAAGTCCCACCTGGTGCCCTTTTGTACCAACTGGTATAAGGGCTTAAGAATTTGTGCCAAGTGCAGGATAAACACTCTCCAGTACCCCAAAAGATCCAAAAACTCTTGTAATAGTTCCACAGTTATAGGGGAGGGAAATCCTGGACCTTGTCTATGACAAGACAACCTCCAAGAATTTTATAGACAAACCAGGCCCCTGAACCTTGGTTTATAGCCTATCCTTTCTCCTGTATATGTTGCAGCAATCTAGGAACTGCCCCTTCTAAATCTGCAAGGGAACCAGAAGTGAGCATAATATCATCAATGTAGTGATACAACTGCACCTTTTGCAGTTTCTTCCATGTGACCAAGTTCTGGGCTACAAGTCTGTGAAAGATGGTGGAACTGTGGAGGTATCCCTGTGGAAGGACAGTGAATGTCCACTGCCGGCCTTCCCAGGTGAAGGTAAGCTATTCCTGACTTTCCTGTGCTATGTCAATAGAGAAGAAAGCATTAGCAAATTCAACAACATAATAATATGTTCCCAGTTCATGACTTAGTATGTCCATAATGTCTACTATAGAAGGGACAGCAGCATGCAAAGGGGTGTGACTTTATTCAATTCCCTGTAGTCCACAGTCATATACCAGGAGCCATCTGGCTTTCTCAATGGCCACACTGGGGAATTAAAGTGACTATGAGTGGGCTTTATGATGCATACCTTCTCCAACTGCTGTGGAGTTTCTCCAATTTTCTTGTGCCCTCCAAGGCAATTTATACTGTATAGTATTTGTCACCTGCTGAGGTACAGGCAGAGCTACAGGTGGGTGCTTAGCATGTCCCCTCAGAACTGTCTTTACCACATATACCTTCAGTCTGAACTCACCTGCAGTGGTCTGTAACCACAGGCCCTGCAGTATATCTACCCCCAAAATATATTCAGGTATGGGAGAAATGTACACAGTATACTCCTTTGGGGGTAAATGCCCTGTCCCCAATGAGATTTGGGCTTTCTTCACTCTAATTTCCTTACCCCCATAGCCATCTATCACAGCAGGGGTCACAGGAAAACACTCAGGGTTGCCATAAATCAGAGAACACTCAGCTCCTGTGTCCACCAGCATCAGGACACATTATACATTCACAGGGGACCAATGAGTTGCTAATTCTACATGTTGCCTCTTGTACCCACCATGTCCCCCAAAGTGAGGACCTTGACTCCCCTCAGTTGAACCATGATGCCCAATCACCCTCCTGTGGGGTGAGGGCTCAGGCAAATTCTCAGTACTGTCCCCAAGGAAGTTTTGCCTGGACACAGGCCAGGCATGTGCCTTTGGCTCCAGTTTCCGTGTCTTGGATCTCAACAGCTGGCTTTAACTGGTGCCACAGTTCTAACAAGATCCTATTGGGCTGCCCATCAAGTTTTTCTTTCACCACCACGACCTTTATCAAACCAACCCACATCTGGGTCCTTGGGACCTTCACAGGGCCATTTGCACCTCTCCTTTCAGTCATAGCCTGTACTTCCTTTCATTCTCTTATTGTTTCAACCTCCCCCAGATCTTCTAAAGTATGAGTAGTTATGGGTTGCCCTATGTGTAATGCAAGAGTAGTCACTATGGATGCAAAGAGGGATGTGCAAGCTCTAGGCACCACCAGATTTTTCATTACTACAGTGAACAACCCCTGGAGGTCCATATTATAGATGATATTTTTCATACCCAATTTCTGCAATACCTGTTTGAGCTCTACATACATTTTCCAGCTAGTGGGTAAATACTGTAAATCACTGTGATTAGGGCAAAATGCCCTGATGGCAGCTGTCAGCCATTCCAGAAGTGTCTGATTCCCTGAGGCGTGATGGGCACTTTGCAACCACTGTGGAATGGAAGGGTGAGTCATCAGGGAAGCCAGTCCATCTTAGTACCCGACATAACAATGTTTTCCACCCCCATATCCCAGAGACATAAAAGCCATGTAGGTAGAGATTCCAATGGCTTCTGCCTATACTGGATGCTCATGTCCACTAGCTCATCCTGGGTATGGGAGTGGAGCCTGGAGTTCTCCACAACCTGGGGAAGGGCAGCTCCTCCCCCTGAAGAGCTTGTGGTTGTCTCCTTTTAATTTTTTCAACTACAGCCTAGAGGGCCTTTAATACAGGAGAGGCTGGTGCCTTTGGCGGTGGCCTTGGCAGTAGATTGGCCCATAGCCCCACCTTCTTATCTTCTTCCCCATGGCTCCTCCACCATTTCCGGGTCTGAGGGCACTGAATTTCGTTCTTCTCTCCCATGGCTTCCTGCAATGCGGCTTCTCCTGCTGCTTCCCCCGTCTCCATTGCTAAGGAATCTTTCAGAAGCGTGATCCGTTTTCTCAATAACTGTCTCTCTTCCTTAAGGGCATCCCACAGGTCATCACCCAGATCCTCCAAGTGAGGTCAAAGTGTGTCTCTCTCCTGCTGAAGTCCCTCTCTCTCTTTGATAACCTTCTCCCTCTCCTGTATAATCCCCTCTCTCTCCTTGATAACATTTTCCACTATCTGGAGGAAAAGAAACTCTATAATGCCAGCTGCTCCATGGCCATTCAGGGCCTCTAAGTAGTCTGCTATCTCACAGACAGCTGATTCTGCAGTTTCTGGTGTCTCCACCCTTCCCCAGTTCTGGAGAAGACCCCACCACTCTAGGAGGTGCTTTGCTCTAAACCTGTTCCCCACTAGGGGATCCCAAATTGGAATCCCTAAAGATAGGGGACTCCCAGGTGAAGCTGCACCATCTAGGGTCTCCCCACTGCCCACAGGTGGGGTTCTGGGCATCTCCCTACCATCTCTAAGGGCAGGCAGCCCAAGGGTCACACACTTGTAGACAGATTTTGGGTTCAGAGTTTCTGCTGACTACTTCTGGATGCAAATCCTGGGAGAGGAAAATCCTTGGGCAAGATGCCTTTGGATCCAAAATCATTCATAGGTAGAAATAAAGTTTAAAACCCGTTTATTGCTTACAAGGAGTCGTCCTGCATCTCTCCCTCTCCTTCTGTGACAGAAGCAAGTGAATCCTCCCCTCAGCCTCTCAGGTCCAGATATGCCCTATCTCACCCACGATAAGGAGATGAACTTCTCTTTACCCCTTGGAAACACCTGTTGATAAGGAGATGGACTAAAGCCAGGTGAGAGATTCTGGAAATAATGCAATTTTACCCACACCATTTAGCCCATTCTCTACCCACCAAAAAATTCCTATTTGAAAATGTTTCACTTCATCAGTCTATCATAACCTACATACCTGTAGATTTATCAATCTGTAGAAAGAAAACACAAAAGGGAAAACTGCAGACTAGTTATAGTTCAGATCTTTCTATCAAGAGATTAATATAAAATGCCCAGGCAGGGTTTATTGTAGGAAAATAAAACTTGCTTTATGTTAGAAAATTTGCCAATATAGTCACATAATCAGTAAGTCAGAGGAGAAAAATGCTATTTTCAAAAGATGCTGAAAGGAAATTTTACAGTATATAACAACCAATTCTTAAAATTAAATTATGGGAAGATAGTAATAGAAAGATACTTATGTTTTAAAATAAAGGCTGTATATTGGGGTCAACAGAAAACACCATACTAACCTTGAAACACCAGAGGTATTCCCATTAAAATCAAAACAAGACCAGAAAGCACTGACACCACAACTAGCATTGTTCTGGGAGTGGAGCTAATCACTTGCAATGATCAGCAGTTATAACCATTAGTACTGTTAAAAAAGAAGAAATACAATTAAAAGCATTATCAGATAAATTAAGAATTCTACTGAAAATGAATTAGAAATATCAAAAGTTTATAAAAGAAACTTGTCACAAATATACAGAACAATAGATTTCTATATAGTAACCAAAAATATTTGCTAATCTTAAAATATCACATTCTCAATAGTCTTAACAATTAAATTATAAAAAAGAAAGACTTAAGGAGTTTGTGAGAAAGATTCCCAACAGTAATGAGGATGAAATAAAATGGCTGAACAGAGAAATGCAATATATTTTTAAGAGAGAAACTGAATATTATAAAAATCAATCAATTATTTTCTTATTAGTTCATTAGTATGATGTGATGCTAAACAAAATGAAAGAAATATTGAACTTGACAAAGTAGTTAAAAAGTAATAAAGCAGTTATAAGAACAATCTATATGGTTAAAATCCAAACCACAACATAACTGAATGAAGAAAAAAGTGAAAGATTATTGCCCATCTTCTTTGTCTTCTCCAGCCCGAACGTTCTCCAAAAGTGTCCAAATAAACAGAATAGCTAGGGACCTCTGAAGAAGAGCTGCCGACTACATGTTAAAGCGGTGGCTGCCAGAGGTGAGCACCAGGATGGATGAAATGGGTGAAAGAGTTCAAAAGGTACAGACTTTCAGTTGTATGATAGATAAGCCCTGAGGAATGTAATGTACAGTGTGGTGATTATAGTTAACAGTATTGTATTGTATATTTCAAAGTTGCTAAGAGATCTCATCACAAGAAAAAGATTGCAACCATGAGTGGTGACAGATGTCAACTAAATTTACTGTGGTGATCATTCTTAACATGTGCATACATCAGATCATTACATAGTACACCTAAAGCTAATATAATGGTATATGTCAATTACATCTCAATAGAAAATGAAAACAAATAGAAAAATTGTATTATTAATTAGACAATACTTAATATGTTACTGGCACAAGAAGTGAATGCAGGATACCTTAAAAAGATTAACTATCACCAGTGTAATAAGAGGTGATGATCCAGGGCCCAAAGATATATCTGGCTCACTGTAAGCATGGGATGCTTATGGAATGAACATGTGGATCACTATTTGGTGCTAGAGCAATTGTTCCAGAACAAAAAATAGTCTTTTCATACACTCTGCACCCAATTATTTCAGGTGGATTAATAACAACATATAAGAAAACAAAAATCTAATAAGAGGATGGAAACTTAGATAACTATGTGATTTCAAAATGGGGAAATTTCTCAGGATAAGAACAGCAAAATAAATGGCACAAGAAAAATAAAGAATAAAGATTGAATAAAGATTACTTAAACTTTGAATATTGAAAATTCGGAAGAAATAATAAACTGAAGGAAATATTCAGATACATATATTAAGTAAAGCAGTATCACCCTTCATGTGTGAAAATATGTGCTATTAAAATTATAACACCAGTAGAAAATTCAAGAAAAAATATACATTTAGAAAATAATAACACCAGTAGAAAATTCAGAAAAGGACATACAGAGTAAACTTAAGAGTTATCTATGAAAGCAAACATGTAAAAATATGTCTGTTAGTAGTTTACAAGGAAAGAATTAAAACATAATACTATTTTATCTCCCATATCAATGTGGGTGAAGTAACATAATATCTAGTACATATAAGACCATAGTAAAATTGAAGTTTCTCTTGCACACTGCAAGCTTAAGTATAAGAACCTGGAAGTTTCTGGAATGTCAGTTGGCAAATAGTATTAGGAGTTTCAAATAACCTTTGGGGCAGAAATTCCTTTAAAGGATTTTTTTCAAAATATGTAGGTTTCGATTAGATGTAACCTAAATATCCATAAATATGAGAATAGTTGTATAGATTACAACATAACTATAGAATGAAATATTATAAACATTTCAAATCATGTTTTTAGATAATATTTAATGAATGTAGAAATGCACATAATAGAGTTCAATGAAAAAAGTGAGATGCAACTTATATTCTAAGAATATACTTCTGTTACAAATGTATATGGCTAATATAAGACATGCTTGAAATCTAATGAAATATTACTCTTGATTGTGGATAGACTTTACACTTTTTACTCTGCAGAATGTCTTAATTTTTAAAAATTGTTATAGTTACTTCTGTAGTAAGAGAAAAGTACTAACAAAACATAAATGAGCAAAAGCCTGCAAAATGTTTGTTGTCGCATTAGTTTAACAGTAAGCCTCAATATCCCCCAAATATTGTGCATATAGTCCATAGATTACAAACATGATTTCTCTAAACTTAACCCAACTCCTAGCTATAACCCTAGTACTAACAGTATTGTTCCATAAGTAGCAAAGTCAACCAAATGTTCAATATTTTCAAAAGCACTTTTCTCACATTACCAGGAACAATGTAAAATTATATATAGTATAAATCTTAGTATTTTGGATCATAGAAGAGAGACAATGCAGGTTTTATACTAGACACTGCAGAACAACAAAAATTGTATACTTTGTATCAGGTACACATCTTTTTCTAATCCATTCATATTAACTATTAAACAAATATTTATTGAGCATTAAGTAGAGTTACATTCTTAAAAAGATTACATTAATCCAGGAGTTATAAATTAAAACACTACAAGATAATCAAGAAGATGGTTTTTCTGGGACAAGTTGAGTTTTGAACTCCAGAACTTTTATTTACTGAATCAAGGAGCACTCCTTGTTTATCCCTGTAATCTCAGTGAAACTCCTTATCCTCTTTACTTTCATACAGTTATTTCCCCTCATCTTTGTATTTACTGCTTGTTTTCATCATGTATTTCTTTTTTTCAATTAGTCCTTCAGTCAACTTAATGATTCACAAGAGGATCCACTAGCCTGTTCTAAACCTTGTGACACTCATTAAATAATTTGAATTAATTCCATGTTTCACTCTGATGGAAAATTATTGCTGAACTGATGCATTCAATTTTAGATTATTTTGCCCTGCTTACAGATAATGCCTTTACAGATATTGTCTATTCAATACTGTGCGTGTCTAAGACTAAGTGACTTTTTCTAAATATCTAGCTATGAAATTAAACTATTGAATATTTAATGATGTTTAAATATTAATTTTCTTAGAGGGCAGGAATATATAAAAATGGGATTCATATTTTATTCCTTTAGATAATGGTAGCGCAACACCACTCATTGCATCTCTTGAGCATATAGATGGGTAGTTTGCTATTGAAGGTGAACCTAAGTGAATGCCCATCAAATAGAGCTAGCTGGAGGCCAGGGCTGTTGACTGTAAGGTATCAATACCAGTTGTATATTAGTGATTATTTGCAGGATTTTCTAAAGCGAATGACTTATTTTATTTACTAATATTGAATGAAGTAATTAAATGCTGTTATAAGATAAGAATAAAATTAGAATCTACCCCTTTTTCATTAAAAAAGGTGTTGTGGAATTTAAGAACATTTAATAAGATGCTATGAAATATACAGACTAAGACAAAGCAGAAACATAATGTTTTACTTGTGTTTAATACAAGTATACATTATCAAGATGAAAGAGATCTTGCTTGTGTTGCTGAAATATACAGAGAAGATGAAACCCACAGGAATTACAGCTTAGGCACTCATATAAATCTGTGATGTCTGAATTGGGGTGTGGTAATCCATTGAAGGGTAGGAAGAAAATATTAGCGCTAATATTTATATTTTTTCCTGAAGATGAAATAAAAATTAAGCTTCTTAATATTAGAAATGTAAATAGGTACTGTAGTCTTCACATGCTTATTACATTATGTTTCCTTCTTTGTGAAGAATCCATGAGGTATCCAAGGGAAGAGTGGAGGCTGAACATCAAAAGGATGTTTGCTTTCAGCATTTTGTAAGGCAGTGTAGTTTGCATGTGTCTCATTAGGTGGTTGTATTGATTATATTATCTAGTATTAACTACACTAACCTTCTAAAAATAAACAAGTGGTTTAAAATAAATACTGCAAAATAACCCTGGCTTGAAGATAATATTTTTAAATACAAATGAATAGCAACCTCCTCCTCACCCCACAAAGAATGTTACAACTGAAATTTCTGCTGTTAGTATGGGCTTTTGCCAGCCACATTTCAAGGAAACCAATGAAGATCTAATCAGCTCTGATCTCTTAAAATAGTCCACTAAATTCTTTCAAATTATAAAATTATTAAGAAAAATATTTGAAATATAAGCTTTTATACACTATTTTTAACAATAAACCTCATCCTCAGCATATATTGTGCCTTGAAATAATAGTTTATAATAGTACATACACACCCATATGTATAATTTTTCAAGAAAAGGAATACATATATAGATTTTGATCCTGCATAACTGTTTATTTTAATATCTATATTTTTAATTATTAATGATGTGAGTACTTGATCAAAGAAATTTAGACACTGCTATTTGTGATAGTGAATTTGAATTTGGAATTATCCTTGGCAATTGGACTAGGGTTGGTTTAGGCCAAATAGTAGGTGCTAATGCCAAATGAATATTTATTAATATATACACCCAAAATGTAAATCTATGTATCACATGAGAGACAAAGAATGCCTGACAATGATTTTGGATTACTGACTTATCAACACTCCAGAAATGGCTTTTTCTGACAGCCCAAAACATTTTCGTAATACCACTGAAGCCAATTTGGAAAACTTGGGGTGCTACATCTGATCTCCAGGGAAAGATTCCCAGGGGAAATTCCTGAGTCTGATGTCTCATTTCTATATGTAAGTTTTTACTGCAAAAGTGGCTCACCATTGATAATGATCATGTATAGATTATCCTTCCAAGCATGGACTGGTAACACCCCCTTCCCTTTTGTCTTGACTAGTACTAAGGATGTTAACAAGGCATTTCAAAATGCATTGTAGACTACATTCCAGGCTTTATTTAGGTCAGGGTTAAGCAAAGGGGATGCATTTCTGTCCTACAGGTTGTGTTCTCTGATCATGAATACCCCATCTAGCAAGGGA